CAAAGTCTGGCCATTCTCACTTCTTAGGAGAATTCTGTCTGTACTTCTTCCAAGATAGATTTGTTTGTTTTCTGGCGTCCATGGTATTTCAAGTACTCTTCACCAACACTACAATTCAAATACATCAATTCTTCTTTGGTCTTCCTTATTCACTGTCCAGATTTCACATGTGTATGAGGCAATTGAAAATACCATGGACGGAACATCCATTGAGATGTTTCAACAAATGGATGATGCACTGGAGGCACTCACTTAGCTATGCCAGGAGATTTGGAAGACAGCTACCTGGCCAACGGACTGGAAGAGATCCATATTTGTACCCATTCCAGAATGTGGAAATTATCCAACAATATCATTAATATCACATGCAAGTAAAATCTTACTGAACGATATTCAAAAAATGGTTGCAGCAGCATATTGACAGAGAACTTCCAGAAGTGCATGCTGGATTCAGAAGAGGACACGGAACAAGGGATATCACTGGTGATATCAGATGGATCTTGGCTCAAAGCAAAAAACACCAGAAAGATGTTTCCTTGTGTTTTATTGACTATGCAAAAGCATTTGATCATGTGGATCATAAAAAATTGTGGATAACATTGAGAAGAATGAGAATTCGAGAACACTTCATTGTACTCATGAGGAACCTGTACATAGACCAGGAGGCTGTCACTTGAACAGAACAAGGAGACAGTGCATGGTTTAAAATCAAGAAGGAAGTGTGTTAGGGTTGTATCTTTTCACCACACTTATTCAATCTATATGCTGAGCAAATAATCTGAGAAGCTGGACTATATGAAGAAGAACGTGGCATCAGGATTGGAGGAAGAGTCATTAACAACCTGTGATACACTGATGACACAACTCTGCTTGCTGAAAGTGAGGATGACTTGAAGCACTTACTGATGAAGACTGAAGAATACAGTCTGCAGTATGGATTACATCTCAATATAAAGAAACAAAAATCCTCACAAATGGACCTATAAGTAGCATCATGATAAATGGAGAAAAGATTAAAGTTGTCAAAGAGTTCACATTGCTTGGTTCTACAATTGAGGCCAATGGAAGCAGCAGTCAGGACATCAGATGATGCATAGCACTGGGCAAGTCAACTGCAAAGAACCTCCTTCAAGTGCTGAAGAGCAAATATGTCTCCTTGAGGACTAAGGTGCACCTGACACAATCCATGGTATTTTCAATCGCCTCATATACATGTGAGAGCTGGACAATGAATAAGGAAAATCAAAGAAGAGTTGATGCTTTTGAGTTGTGGTGCTGGAAAAGAATGCTGAAAGTACCATGGACTGCAAAAAGATCTAACAAATCTGTCCTGGAGGAAGTGAAGCCAGAATGCTCCTTGGAAGCGAGAATGGTCAGACTTCATCTCACCTACTTTGGTCATGTTGTCAGAAGAGACCATAACCTGGAGAAGGATGTCATGCTTAGTAAAGTGGAGGGTCGACAAAAGCAGAGAAGGCCTGCAACATGATGGATTGACACAGTGGCTGCAATGATGGGCTCAAGTATAGCAAGGATCATGGAGCTGGAACAGGACCGGGCAGTGTTTTGTTCTGCTGTGCACAGGGTCACTATGAGTCAGAGATGACTTGACGGCACCTAACAACAACAACAACAACATATTTCTCTTCTACAGTCAATGCAAGTGCAGCCTTATATGCATAAAAAGGCACACACACACACACACACACACAAAACCTCACTGCCATTGAGTCAATTCCAACTCATAGTGACCCTATAGGACAAAGTAGAACTGCCCCAAAGGATTTCCATAAGTCTTTATGGAAATAGACTGCTTCTTCTTTCTCCTGCAGAGTAGCTGGTGGGTTTGAATTACCTACCTTTTGGTTAGCATCCAAATGTCTTAATCACTGCACTCCAGAGATCCTTAAGACTTATTTTGGTCCAAATTGGAGAAGTGAGGGTGTCACACACATGCCATCCCTTTGTTTTCCTCCTCCAGCTTACTTGATACTTCATCAATTCATTTTTAGATATGGCTTGAATTCTACAATTACAGATGTACTTGAACAAGTGTATGAAGTGTATTTGCAACAATGTTTATTGAAGAATTATTTATTTAAAAAAAAAGAAAAGAAAGGCCTGGTTGAAGTGAGGTATATACATGTAACATGACCTGATGCTGCTGTTACATGGAATGAAGCTGATCTACTATATGTTGATTTGGAAAGAAGAACAATGAAATGTTGTTGTTGTTGTCATGTGCCATCAAGTCGGACCTGACTTATAGCGACCCCTCCTTGAGTTTCCGAGGCAGTATCTCTACGGAAGTAGGATTGCCCATCCTTCCTTCCGAGGAGTGGCTGGTGGGTTTGAACCACCAGCCTTCTGGTTAGCAGTCAAGTGCTTTAGCCACTAGGCTACCAGAGCTCCCCAATGAAATAGATAATGCTTATTATATAGCACTAACAATATGCTAGGCATTGCCTTAAACAGTTTACACATGTGAGCTCATTTAATTTCAACAATCATAAGTAGGCAGGTGTTATTATTCTCATTTAACAGATGAGGAAACTGAAAAACACAGTACAACTTGCCCAAGGTCACACAGCTTTTGGTTTCAGAACCAGGATTTGAACCCAGAAAGTCGGACTCCAGAATCTTTCCTCTTAATCACTATGTGCCATGCAAGATACATTACAGGGGGAAAAAAAAAAAAGTGTAATATGGCCCCATGTGTTTACATATTTACATATGTATGCATGTGTGCAACACATATTCATTATGTGCTTACTTACAATGTACAAATGCTTCACATACATTACTTCATTTGTAATCCATGCCATATAGATAGGTATTATTGTATCCATTTTACAGACATGAAGACCAAAGCACAGAGAAATAATTTGCTCAAGTTCACAGAGGGAGGCAGTGGTTGGACCAAGCTTGAGCCCAGGTCTTTATGATTTCAAAGCCCTTTTCATCAACATAACGCCTTCCAAAATGTACATGATGCAAAACTGACCTTTTGTACCAGTTAATTTCACGTCCTTCCTGAAACTGGTGTTGAATAACAATTATGCTGATCAGAGTCAAGTTTATTCATTACTGGTGCCTATACAAGCTTTTCACAGGTCCATGACATTTTTAGATAGATTAAACCCATTGCCATTGAGTTGACTCTGACGCATAGAGACCCCCCCATTGAGTTTCCAAGGCTGTAAATCTTTACAGAAGTAGACTGCCTCATCTTCCTCCTGCAGAGCAGCTGGTGGGTTTGAACCACCTACCTGCTGGTTAGTAGACAAATGCCTTACCCACTATATCACCAGAGCTCCTTTATATAGATTAACCAAAACCCACTGCCATCAAGTTGATTCCAACTCACAGCAATCCCCATTGGGTTTCCGAGGCAGTAAATCTTTACAGAAGTAGATTGCCCCATCTTCCTTCCATGGAGTGGCTGGTGGGTTTGAACCGCCAATCATCTTTTCATGGAGGAGCTGGTGGGTTTGAACTGCCAACCCTCTGGTTAGCAGTCAAATGCCTTAGGCACTGACTATCTAAATACCTCCTTTAAGTGTTAAAGAGCAAAGATGTCACTTTGAAGGCTAAGGTGCTCCTGATCCAAGATACGGTATTTTCAATAGCCTCATATGTATTGTGAAGACTGGACAATGAATAATGAAGACCAGAGAAGAATTCATGCATTTGAACTTTGGTGTTGGCAAAGAATATTGACTATACCATGGAGTGCCAGAAGAACAAACTAATCTGTCTTGGATGAAATACAGCAAGAATGCTCCTTAGAAGTGAGGATGGCAAGACTCTGCATCTTGTACTTTGGTCATGTTGTCAGGAGGAACCAGTACCTGGAGTACCATGATACCAAGGATATCATCCTTGGTAAAGTAGAGGGTCAGTGAAAAAGAGGAAGACGCCCAACGAAATGGGCTACAACATGGGCTCAAACATAGCAATGATTATGAGGCACCAGGCAGTGTTTCATCCTGTTGTACATAAGGTCGCTACATGTCAGAACCAACTGGACGGCATCTAACAACAACAAAGAAGTATTTTAAGGTAGTGGGAAGTAGTAGTGGCGTAGGGCCTAGGGCATTTGACTGCTAACCAGAAGGCTGCTGGTTCAAACCCACCAGACACTCCTCAGAAGGAAGATTGGGCAATCTACGGCAATATCTCGGAAACCCAAGAACTGGTTGTTATGAGTTGAATCAACTTGACAGCACTGAGCTTGTGGGGTTTTTTTTTGGGGGGGGGGGGCGGCAGTAGTAGAAAATGTTGTTTTGAACTAAGAAAACTCAAACTCTCTCTTACTTCATTCTTACATGGCTATGAGTTTGAGCAAACTAATCTCTGAACCTCAGTTTTCTCATTTGGCAATTAGATGAGTTCTTATGTGTAAAATAAGTTATAAACTTTTATAAAAGCAGATGCCTTAAAAAAATTTCAGTAGCCAAAAAAAAAAAGTTTCTGTGGAGGAGTCAAACTCGTGGCTACCCTATGTGTTACAGAATAGAACTACTCCATGGATTTTTTTTTTTTTTTTTTTTTTGGTTGTAATCTTCACAGAAGATCTGCCTGGGCTTTATTCCCTGACCCTGCTGGATGGGTTTGAACAGTCAGCCTTTAGGATAGTAGACTAGTACCAATCATGTGCACCACCCAAGAACTTCTAAACAAAGAGGTTGAATCCCAACTCATAAACAGAACAGAATTGCCCCATCGTAAGGTTTCCAAGGTTGTGAATCTTTATGGAAGAAGACCACCACATAGCTCTCCCACTGAGCACCTGAAGGGTTCCAACCGCCAACCTTACAGTTAGTGGTGAAGCGTTAACACTGTGCCACCAGGACTCCTCAGGACCTCCAGACAACTGAAACTATCTCACTTACATAGTCCAGTATTTCATGGGATACATAAGGGTATCCAGTATTTTTATTTTAGCAAGGTTATCCTGCATGCCTAGACAATACTTACCATGAAAAAAAAATACTTACACATTAAAACAACCGCCCCCCAAAAGAGTTTTCACTGTGTTCTTTCTTGGCAAGCCATACGCCATGATGAATTATTACAGTCGCATTTCCTTGCATAGGTGCCTGGTGTGATGATGATAAGCACTGTGATCACTTTGTCTGAAATGATTGCAAATGCACCAAATCAATTGCTTTCACTTGAATATTGATATAGCCAAATAACAAAAAGATTCAGAAAAAGAACTGAAAACTAAATGTCAGGAAGATCACAATAACTATTCATTCAGCCTGAATCCTGAAAGTAGAACTGTGTTCTCTATTATTTTCCATGAACTCATTTTACCATTTCTCACCACCATGTAAGGAAAAAGTTCCAGTTAAGATTTGTCATATTGAGACAGGTAATCGGTTAACAGCATCTGTTATTTTCCCATGGTATTCTGACACTGACTGAACCTGCCAAGCTAGCTCAAACTCCGCATTACCATAATGTGTATGAGTGTGGCGACGTGTTACCACAAACGGCCCTGCCCGCACAGGAACTTCGCGACCCTAGCTCCAGCCCTTTAAACGATGCAAAACTTCCAGGGTTTTCTGTCATTCGAAATTATGAACTAACATAGAGGCAAACTTTAAGCAATGCTTCCATTTGCCCTCCCATTCACACTTCTGAGGACCGAGTCGATTCTCCTTCTCTTCCCGGGATGCACAGTTCCTTATAGAAACCGGTTCTCAGGAGGGGTGGAAGCCTTGACATCCGCAGAGCCTGGGGCGAAGGCGCGGGCAGGCTTCTCTGTCCTCGACCTTCCCACGCTAGGGCCCCACCCTTCCTCTGACTCGCCCGAAATGCAACGCAAGGCAGCAGCAGAAAATCCAGTAAGGCCAGTCTGTCGGGCATCAGGGATTCGGGTCCCACAGGAGAGGGTGCCCCGCTGGCTTCATCTCACCTTCTGATTACCGGAGTCTTACGTTTCTGCGGGTCGGTGCCCCGCGGACCGAGGGCAGAGCGAGCGCCCTGCTAGGAGCACATGGCCGAGCACACGCCGCGTGCCCGCACCGCGGGCACACACTCCTGCTTTCTGCGGGCTGCTGACGTGGCCTGGGCGCCCAAGGCTCGGGCAGCCCCGCGTGACGCGTGAGCCTCAATAAAGGGCTTTATGGTGCCAGCAAGGACGCCCGCCCGGCAGGGGGCTGAGGAGGGGGCCCTGCGGCTGAGGCTCGGGAGATCCACCTCCCCCCAACTCCGTGGTGTGGGTTTTGGCCACGGGATTAAACAGCCCTGGAAGGACACACGCTTAACAAAACAAATGTGCAACGACAGAGAGAACTGAAAGCTAAGCCTATCTCGGAAAACTACACTGTTAAACTTAAAGAAGTTGCTGAGAACCAGTTTGGGGAATCATTTTGGGGACCGTTTGAGGTGCAGGATTTAAAGATGGATGTTTAATTCTTTTGTGTTGACTATGACACATTTTCACTGTTAAGAGATGTTTTGTTTTTAATTTTCATTGTAATTTGGGTGAAAGTTTACAGAGGAAATTCATTTTCCATAAAACAGTTTATACACATTTTGTTTCATGACATTGACTGCAGTCCCCACAATGTAACAGCTCTCCTCCCATTTCCTCCTGAAGCCTAGTTTAACTGAAGCTCCAGTCCCCATCCGCTCTGAAACCATCCTCGACCAGGGTTGGAGACAGATGAGCAGACATAATAACTGGTTTCCTTAGCTGTTTTTCAGAAGCCCAGCCAAGACCAACTTGAAATCAGTTAGAACCAGAACATATCTGTGTTGGCCTGCAGACATTCACAGTAAGACAAATGGAACAAATTTGCTCAGAACATCTCCCTCTCTGCCTAAGCCCTGATCAGCTGATGACAGGAAATATGTGTGACTCATGGTGCACAAGCTCACTGCATTAAAAATTGACTGTCCCATTGAAACAAGGCGAATAAAACCTCAGCCAATCTCCAACTAACTTATGCCCAAATTCCTGAAATTTGCATTCATTTATATAGACCCTTTTCTTGAACCTTACAAAAACTACCTCAACCCCATTTTGGGAGTCATATTTGGGTACTGGCCCCTGTCACTTTACCACGCCCATGGTAGTGAATTAACTTTCTCATCTCTCAAGTATGCAGTGTGTGTGAATTGATTCAGCTTGATCACACACCAGGCAGGGACTCACTTTAGCCTCAACTTCGCTCCCTGTAGTTACCTCTTCCCTGTGTTCTTCTTTCCTATACATTCCTGCCCCCTTAGCTATCTCCCAGGGCAAATACTGCCATTCTGTTCTCCCATGATTGATTGATCATTCTAAGGAGGTATCTACCTGGTTGGCATAATTGTTCACCCAATATGCCTGTCTGTTGATTGGCTGGAAGCCATAGGAGTGAGTTCCAGTCCTGAAGTGTAACTAGGAGCCATAGTCTCAAGGATCTCACCAGGCTCTATCAGACCAGTAAACCAGGTCTTTTTTTTTTTTTATGATTTTGACTTTTGTTTCACATTGTTCTCCCATTCTATCCAGGATCTCCCGCACTGAGTGGTTGACAGTGGTAGCTGGGCACCATCTAGTTCTTCTGGTCAAATGGTCATGTAGGCTGAGGTTTACATGGTCCACTAGTCCCTTGGACTAATAATTTCCATGTGTCTTTGGTTTTCTTCATTATTCTTTGGTCTGGATGAAGAGAGACCCATTGTTGCATCTAGATGGCACTTGCAAGCTTTTAAGACCATAGTTGCTACTTACCAAAGTAGGATGTAGAACAATGTTTTTGTGTAGTATTGATTGAGCTTGATGTCCCCTGCAACCACAGTCCTGAGCCCACAGGTCCAACAACTCACTCCAACAAGGTGGTTGACTGTGCCTAAGAAGTTATCATGACTTTGCCCCCTGTTACTTCTATTTATTTGGACATTCTGACAGCACACAAATATGTATGTAGAAATACAGTCTGTCAACCTTATATGCGGTCATGGGTATATTCCCTTTTGCCTAGACATACAGGATCATTCAGCCTATCTACCCATCTATTTACCCATAGATTAACGTTTGTTATCACTGATAACCCAGTACTGTATATGTGAAAGTGCTTACCTTTTGTCTGCAATTCTTATGCACCTCTCTGTGTCTTTCATTTCCTTAGTGTTATTGTGTTGGACAGTCAATTTGTTATATTGCCTTTCCCTTCATCCAAATCAATACTTATCTCTTACCTATCTAGCAATTTTTCCTCCTCTCCCCTCCCATCCCTGGTAACCAACAAATTTAGTTTCCTTCCATATATAAACCTTCCCTTGACTTTTTACAATAGTGAACTAGTACAATATTTGTCTTTCTGTGACTGACTTATTTCACTCAGCATAATGTCCTCCAAGTTCATCCATGTTAGGCAATCTTTTGCAGATTCTACATTATTCTTTAGTGTTGCATAGTATTCCATTGTGTGTTTGTACAATAGTTTGGTTATCCATTCTTCTGTTTTTGGGCACTTAGGTTGTTTCCATCTCTTTGCTATTGTGAGTAGTGCTGCGATGACATGGGTGTGCACATATCTGTTCATGTCCTGGCTCTCACTTCTTTAGGATATATATGTAGTAATGTGATTGCTAGATCAAATGGTATTTCTATTTCCAATTTTTTTAGGGAATCGCCATATTGATTTTCACAATGAATGTATCATTTTACAGTCCCATCAGCACTGTGTGAGAGTCCCAATCTCTCCACATCCTTAACAGCATTTTTTTATATGTCTTCTTGAACTTTGTTATTAGTGCAGGGTGAGATAGTGTGGTAGTTCAGTTTGTGTGCCAGCTCAGGTGGGCCGGGTTGAGGGCTGGGCAGCTGGATGTAGTATTATCCATGATGAGACTGGTAATCAACTCTACGGTGGAGTCTACTATGAACAGCTGAGTAGCTGCCCTAAGGATATGGTATGCTTCCTGTATTTAAGGAGAAGTTTTGGGGATAGTCTCTAGATTATAGCATGCTTGAACCCTGCATGTAGCTGGGTCATTGTTCAGCAGCCTGTCATGCGCTGTCGACCTTGGGACTTTCAATGGACTTGAATTAAGGGCCTGCCGTGTGGTTTGGTAACATCGGGACTGTGCCATTTTATTTGTCAACCTTGTGCTTGTTAGCCTCAACAGCCAGTAGCTGCCTAAGTGGAGAGATGCCTCTAGCTTCAGTGAGCAGGGAGTAGGAGGCAGAAGTGAAGCCCAAATCAAGGGGCTTTCACACAGCCCCTAGAGTCCGGCACTTCAAACTCGGACTTCTAGCCTCCAGAACTGTAAAAGAATAAACTCCTGTTTGTTTAAGCCATCCCATTTATGGTATATTCTTGTCAGAGCGGCACTAGGTAACCAGAACAGATGGTATCTCATAACAATGAGACTTTTGGTTTTCATCTTTCTAATGGCTTATGGGGAGCTTTGGTAACATAGTGCCTAAGGCACTTGACTGCTAACCAGAAGGCTGGAGGTTCAAATCCACCAGCCACTCCTCGGAAGGAAGATGCGGCAATCTACTTCTGTAGTGATACTGCCTCAGAAACCCAAGGAGGGGTTGCTATGAGTCGGATCCGACTCAACAGCACATAACAACAACAACAACAATTGCTTATGGGGAGCTTTTGTGGTGTAGTGCCTAAGGCATTTGATGGCTAACCAGAAGGCTGAGGTAATGGCTTATGATCAAGAACATTTCTTCATGTGTTGGTTGGCTGCCTGAATATCGTCTTTGGTTTTTAAGAAGGGTGTTATTCAGTGTCCATGTGTTTGCTCTTTTTCCATTGATCTTCCTATTTTGATTTCTAATTTTATAGCATTGTGATCTGGGAAGATGCTTTACAGTATTTCAGTGTTTTAAAATTTATTGAGGCTAGTCTCAGGGGACATCAAGCTCAATTGGCATAACATACTACACAAAACATTGTTCTACCTCCTACTTTGGCAAGTAGCGACTGGGATCTTAAAAGCGTGCAAGCAGCCATCTAGATGCAAGGATGGGTCTCTCCTCATCCAGAGCAAAGAAGAATGAAGAAAACTAAAATTCATGGAAACAATTAGTCCAAGTGACTG